TCCCTAAGCTTCTGGCCTCAGCTTTCCTATCTGTGTCATGGGAAGACTGGGACACCCTCACGGTCTCTGAGGGCCTTCCCACCACTGAGCTTCCAGAACCCTGCAACCTCCTGCTCTCTCCTCATCAAGACAGATGGCTGCTCGTGGAGGATGGAAGGACACACACCACTGCCCCTCCCTGCCTGGCGGGGAAGAGGCCCTCTCCAGCGCCAGGGCTAATCACTGAGAGCCCTGAGTTTAGTCACCCTCCTGGGATGGTTCCAAACATGAGTGAAAGCTGCAGGGAGGCCTGCAAAAAGCTCGTGCCCAGCCATAAGCCCCAGGCCAGGGCACTGCCCCCACACAGTTTACGCACCAGCTTCCTGGAGCAGCTTTGTGGGAGCACTCCCAGATTTGATACATTCCCCATTGTGCAGTCTCATTAGATGGCTCCAATAGGGAGATCTGGCTGCCACCCTCTCATGAGTGGCTTTGGATTAGTTCCCCACCTCTCTGGGCCTCAGAGGAAGTTCTAATAAAACCAGCAGAGAAGGTAGCAAGACCTAAGGCAGAGAGGAAGGCTGTCACTGAGGCAGGTCCCAGTGGGGAGGCCCCAGGGAGCAGGTGCGAGGGAAGAGGCAGGATGGGCAGTCTGGGAGGCAAAGAGGCAGGGCAGGCCAGCTCTGCCCGTCCCTGTCATGCCTGCTTTCTTAGGGAACAAGTTACTCACTAACTGAGGCTACGGCTCAGCCTGCATCCTCCAAGAATCAATCATGCCATAATTGGAGTCATCATTAATCTCTTTCCATAGTGATGCCAGGGCCTCCTGTTTACCCAACACTTCTGTCCCAAGGGGCTCTGATTGCTCTTCCCCTTGGGAGGAGCCAAGGCAGACCAGATCTTCCCAGGCAGGCCTGTCTCACTCCGGTTGCTGGTTCTCCAGGCCTTCAGAGCCTCCTGGCTGCCCTCCTGTAGGAAGCACCCCTAACAGCTCCCAGCAAGAAAGCTGACTTCCTCTTTAGGATGGCAGATCAGTGTTACCATCTGCCACTTCGACCTCTCTCGGTAAGTATTTAAGAAGCCTCCACTTTGTGTCAGATGCTGCTTGGAGCTGGGAGGGATTCATACAGGATGAGATGTGGATCTTCCTTTCAAGGAGACAACCATGTTGTAGCAACAGCGACTACAGTACACACATGTGCTTTATACACATGCACTAGAGCACACCTTTATAATCACAAGCCCTGTGCTTTAGTTACAAAGAACTGCACACCTGTCATCTCACTGAAGCAGCACTCCACTCCACAGTCAGCGCCAATGTCCCCGTTTTATTGATAAGAAGGCCAGGGCTGGTAGAGATCAAGACTTGCCCAGCACCAGGCTCTGAACCAAGTGTTTCGACCCGGCTGTCTGCTGAGACTCACTCTCAGTGAAGGCCCTTGGGAGATGGCCTGCATGTCTGGGACATATCTGGTGGTCATGGGCTGGATGGGAGCCAGGCTCAGGATTAAGGAGGAGACTCAGGGGAGTCTGCTTCCAGGCTTTAGGCTCTCTTGGCCCAGAAAGGACCTTGTCCAGAGACTACAGCTTAGCATGTCCAAACTCAAAATCTCAGGTTTCAAGTGGGCCAAACTAGAGTTTAATTATTTGTTTTTATTTTATTGTTATTATTTTTTAGTTTGCCATAGGGAACCAACACTCACCGGAGATAGATGCGGAGGTTGGGGGTGTGGAATGAGAAATCACCCCCAACAGGGGAAGAAAGATGGCCATGCAATAATCCCTTTTCCTCCATTCTCCTTTTGGATTTGGGACATGTGTGCACTCACATGCACCCAGTGTGTTTTTCTGTCTTTTTTTTTTTTTTTTTTTTGAGGGGTTTTTGCTATAGGGTGTGTGCACTCCCCAG